TGTCACTGGCCCTCATATGTGGGATCCGAACCGGGGCCCTCTGGTGTCCCAAGCTAGTTCTTAACCATCTCGCCACTCGGCTGGCCCGAAAGCAAGCTTTTTAAATAAAGCTGATTCTCACTGACTCACCCCCCATCCAGATTCTTACTGACACTGTCCTCACTTTTCATGGCAATATAGATATTTCCACAGGTTCAGGAAGAGTCTATTCTTTCCACCAAGATATATTGTATGCTGGCGCTGCACCCCTAGCTTGTAGCTGCCACCTGCCCACGTGGCTTGTTACTTCGGTGTGATCCGACACTTTTGCAGGACTCGTGCAGACCTTAAGGAGTCAATGCCTACAAAGTGCTCTTAGGGTTTTGCGGATTCTGGGTGTTACAGGAGATGAGGAAGGTCACTTCCTAGCAGTTCCAGGAACCTAGAAATTTGCTCCAAAAATGGGAATTGTGTTTTTCACTGTGGGATAAGTTACAGAGGCTTTTGAAAGTGTAACCTGTTTCTTATGAAAACCACCAGCAAAGCAAACTTAAGGTGTTGGTATGTAAGCACTTGTGGCATGCAGGTAAATAACTGGGCCGCGCTGAGATCAGCCTCATTTTACGGCCCAGACAGATCTATGCTTGAGATCTTTTCTTTAATCAAAAGGGTGGGGAGAAACGGTAATGAAAAATTTAACCTTTGGAGTAAACAAAATATATGCCTGTACTTCCAATGGGAAACCACACGTTGTTTGGCATCCGCCCTCTGGGTCACCTGATTCCCACTCTGTTGGGCCCCTGCCTGTCCCACTTTGAGCTATTTGACAGGCCTGGAGATTGCAGACGACCAACAGCAATGCAAACACTTCCTTTTTGTAGACATGCAAATAAATTTGGTCCACTGGAGAGTCAATTGTTTTTTTTCCTGTGGAAAAAGCAAATCTCCATCTGTTTTAACATTCATTTCAGCATCCCTTCACTCCATATAAATCCGTGGTTTTGAACTTTTCTTTTGAACTCATAACCACTGTCCTGGTTCTCTCATTAGTCAATGACTTAAATAACTCTGTGACACACTGTACTAGTTTCCTAGGGCTGCTGGAACAAATTACCACAAACTTGGTGCCTTAAAATGATAGAAATTTATTCTACTACAGTGCTAGAGGCCAGAAACCTGAAATCAAAGTGTTGGCAAGGCTGGTTCTTCCTGGAGGCTCGGAGGGAGCATCTGTTCCAGCTTCTCTCCAGCTTCTGCAGACTGCCAACCATCCCTGGCGTTTCTTGGCTTGTGGCCACGTCAGTCCGGTCTCTGCCTGACTTTTCCTCTGTCTCAGACCTCTTTCTCTTTCTCTTATAAGGACCCCAGTCATTGGCTTTAGGGCCCGTCCTCATCCAGGATGATCTCAGCTAGAGAAGCTTAAGTATATCTGTAACAATCCTATTTCCAAATCAAGTCACATCACAGATTCCTGAACTTAGAACTTGAACATATCTTTTGAGGGGGACGTTGTCTATAGTTATACACATGTTCATTTTATATCTGTGAGAGTCATGCTTCTTAATGCACACACTTCTCTTTTTTTTTTTAACAGCAGTTTTGGAGACTCAAGGGCCTGGAAACGCCGGGGTGCTGGGAGATTCGGAGGATGAACTTGGGAATGGGAGACAGACAGGGGGAGGCCCGGATTGGAAGGTGTCTGGGGTTTGAATGGAACAGGAGTGGTAGTCACTTGGGGAGAGATATTCTTGGTGCCCCTGGAGCCCAGCAGTCCCAGTTTGGGAGAATCAACTCCACATATCACCACCAGGAGTGGGGGGCACCCCCATTCAGTCCAGGGCTCTGTGCCCTACCATGCAGAGGGAGGTCCCACAGCCTGGGACAGGAGCCCACGGCAGTACTAGGGTTCTCTGATGTGGAAATAGGACAGAGTTCATTTCTTTGTCTGCGTGGAGGTGGAAAACTGCTCCACCTCGTTCCCCAAGAGCAGACAGGAAGGCCCTCCTCTCACTCCCCATTTCCAGCCCCATGGTGGCTCAGGTTCCAGCAGAGTGCGTGTCACCAGGTACAGCACACGCTTATTCTCCAGGCTCCCCTTGCTGTTGTCACTTCCTAGATGCCCCAGAGGCACTGCTGTGTCAGCCTACACTATTTCCAGGCCTTAGGTGGGGGGCCAGAGCATATGCTACAGGGAACATTCCAGAAAGCCTGGGCCTAAGAGGGGCTTGAGATCCACTGTGTCAGGACTTGGCCTGGACACTAGGGACCCGGTTTTGAAGAGAGACCAAGTTCTACTCCTTCTGGCAAGTGGGCAAAAAATCGTTGAGGACAGCTGTCTGCATCCAGCCAGGGCATTCGCTCCGATGGAGGCGGTGGGAGCAAGGTGATTCTGAGGCATGCTGCAGCAGAACACACGTCAGGGCAGGCCATGGAGGAGTGTGGGTGGTGGCCCTGCCTTTGCAGAAGCTCCCCGGTAGAGGTGAGCCTGGAATAGGCCAGCGGAGAGAAAAGCAGCACTGGCTTGGGCTGAGAGGGGCTTGGAGAGGAGGGACCGGCAGGTATGGTGGGCCGGGCCGGGCGGACTGGCAGTGCGTGAAGAGGAATCTTTCTCTGTGGGCATGGCCTCCCCTGAGCTCACGGTTCAGGGCGTGGTTACTGACCGGCAGCTTTCCAAGCCACCCGGCTCACAGCAGGTGCAAATAAACATCACTCGCTTCGAGCCAAGGGAACATCGCGCGCTGCACGGAACAAGGAGCTCGGTCAGGTCGTGAGCTACAGCCTCATTCTGCAGCGAGGAAAGCAAGTCCTGAAGCAGTTCTCAGCAATTACCTCCCCGTGGGGTCCCGTCCTCCTCCCCGCTTCCGCCCGTCTTGGCAGCTCCTGAGCCTCACCTTCCGTCGGGGTGTGAGATAACGCCCCAGAGCGGCAGGGGTGACGGACCGGGAGCGGCCTAAGGGAGCGGCCTTGCTGCGGCTCTAGTCCCGGCCTCTGCAGCTCTTAGCCCGAAACCTAGGCCGCGACGGACCGCCAGGGGGCGCTGCGCCGCCGCGGACGCTGGCAGGTCGGGGCGTGGCTCCAGTCTCCGCCCATCGCCGCCGGGGAGGGGTGCGCGTGCGTGCTGCGTCCCTGTCGCAGGGACTGCTGGGCGGGGCGACGCGAGCGTGCGCCGAGCGAGAGCGGATCGGCGCGAGAGCGGAGCGGTGGCTGGGAACATGTGGCGACCGGTGAGTCCCCGCCGGACACGGGCCCGCGCCCCCTCCCACGGCCTGTGTCAGCGTCCCCCTCGGAACCGTCAGGGCTCCGAGACCCGAGTCCTTGCACACCCAGAGATGCCTCGTCCCGGGCCGTGCGAGGGACCCTCTCACCCCGAGACCGTCCCCAGCCCAGCAGGGACCTTCAGGGCTCGTGTAGGAGTCCTTCACAGCCCTCAGACACCCAGCTCTTCAGACTCCCTTTTAAACCAGACCCTGTTGGGGAGACGCTGGGTGCCACTGCGGAGCCCACCAGAGAGAGCGCCTTTCCTGCACACCCCGAAGACCTCTCTTCTCAGGAGCAGACTCACTGAGCGAGAAACCCTGTCTCAGAAGCCCTCTCGCATTATCCCCCATGGGCACCCCTTTCCCAGAAAGACACGCTTTTCCCAAGGCCACTGCTGAACCTCTGCCCTGCTTCCTGGGCCGATGGACACCCCTTCTCGCGCCTCCGTGTCCGCGTTAGACCCTCACTGCTTCAGACTCTGCCAGAAGCCGGACCGGAATCCCTCCCTGACCTTCACCTGCTCATTGGAGAGCCCTTTACCCCTGGTTGCCAGCCCATCTCACATGGCTCTGAGCTGACACCTGCCCCTGCTTCTCCGGAGATGAGAGGACTTTGGGGGGATTGAGGGGTGGCCATCTTCCTGGTGGGCTCAGGGGCACACTCCCCTCCCACCGTCAGGCCTTCCTAGACCCGTGCCTGGCCCTAGGCTGCCTGCCCGACTCATACTGCCTGTGACCCTGAGAAGAGCAGATGGCTTTCCACGGCTGTTCCTGGGTTGGGCCTCCCACCCTGTTGCACCTGTGCAGTTAGGAATGGCACCTTTCAAACCGTGTGCTGTAATTATTGACCAGATCTTACCCACTGTGTCCCCCTCTTCCCCCCCGCAAGAATCTGGCCCTTTCCTCGTGTGGTTTAGGGCTGAAGACACTGAGGGGGTTCATCAACATTTTCAATTTGAGGTTTTCTGTAGAGCTTGTATTTTTCTAGTAAGCAGATCCTGTCGATTTAGATACTAACCAGACACATGAGCTTCCATGGACCTCTGCGGCTCGCAGCTCCGATACCGAGGGGTGTTTTGTGGGCTGAGATGATGAAGCAGTTACTCTGGGAGTCAGGCAGAGAGACACTGAGTTGGCCTTTAGGACAGCACTTCATAGCTTATAAAGCTTCTTCATGTACTCAGGTCCCTGACTCCTCCAGGGGAGGGGGCTGATGGGCAGACTCACACCCAGAGTGGGACGGGGACTGGTAGGCTTCTGAGTCCTGACGGGTCACAGGCCCTTGGAAGAGAAAAGGCAGGGCGTTCGTGGCCCCCCAGGCCACCTCTCCTGGCTGTCACTCCTAACCACAGGACCTTTCTGTGCCTTGCTTTTCTTCTGCTGAGGTGCATAGGGCTGTTGAGGTTTTCTGTCACAGGAGCCATCGGGAGACTCAGCGGCTGCTTCTTACTGCTGTGGGCTGGCTTGTCTGCAGTGGCATCTCATCTCCCTTCGGATTTGCTATCTGATCTACAGGGTGCTAGGAAAACACAACTCTGCGGGTGCTTCCCACATGACCACGCGTGCTCCTGCTTCTGTGCTGAAGTTCACACAAAGTTTGTGAGCTTTGTAATGTCTCTTTGAGTTACTGCTCACTCTTTTTTGCTGCTTTGTGGCTGTTAGCTGAGTTCCAATGAGCCCTCGGTTCCTGCAGACATACTGTGCACACACTCCACATGCTCTAGGAAAGCGTGGGAGGTGGGGGTACAGCACAGGAAGCCCATCTCATCTTGTCCAGACTGGGGCTTTGGGAATGGGAGGGTGCTGGGGCGAGCGTTAGCCGGGACGTCCAGGCAGGCCGAGGCATGTGCCTTTCTTGGTGAGAAGGCGCTGGGGTGTGGGAGGGTGTCCTGTCACCAGGCCCGCTCTGGTGCTCAAGCTCTGCGTGTGGTCTGGGTTATATGTGATGTGGTGGAAATTGCCCTGGGCTGGTTCCTGGGAAGTTTGGCTGCAGGTTTGGTCCTGCATGACCGTGGGCTTCGGAGATGTCTCCTGAGTGATGGGGACACTTTGGGAAACACTGGGCATCCCACACGGGAAGGAGCCTGTGGGCCGCAGTGGGGGCTGTGGAGCTGTCAGCATGAGGCCTCACCCCTGGACTCCCGCCCAGGGCCAGGCTGCTGCCGTCTCGCCTGACTGTGGCCTTCCTTCTGCCTGTTGCTCAGCTAGCCTTCTCACTCGGGCCACGTGGGCTCTGGCCCGTTCTGTGCTTACAGCGCCTGTCGCAGCCCAGCAAGCCCTGTGGAGTTTCTGCTTTGTCTAGCACGTCTAGCCAGGTCCTGGAAGTACAGACATGATGGTGGCAGGCCCTGCCCAGTCTGGTGGGGAGACAGACTGTACATTCACAGTCATTCCTATGTGATAAGGACAGTGGGAGAGGCATGTACCAGGTGCTGGGGTGGGGGCAAGACAGGGACGCTGGTGAATCAGGGTGGGGCAAAGGGCATTCCGGGCAGGACAGCAGCCTGGAGAGCGGGCCTTGGGCCCACCCCTGGATGGGCTGTCCAGCATCTACCAGAGGGATCTTATCACAGGAGTGTGCGTGAGGCGTCCGTTCTGGGGTTGGCTGGAGATGGCGAGACACAGCCAGGGCTCCTACTGTGTGGCCTTCATGAGGGAACAACAGGAGGCGGTGCCTGGGGACTGCGTCAGGGGCCCCGCCCCCTGGGCCTGTGGATGCCAGCACTTGGCCCGGTGCTGACCGTGTGCTCAGAGGCCGTGGGCTCGGGGCCTCATGCTTTACTGTAAAATAATTCAGATTTCGCACTCTTTTCTGTAGAAGACCTGTATGTTTTAATATCAAAATGATGTTTAAAGTTATTTGTCCGTTAGGTGACGACTTTTTCTCACCAAACCCTTGCATATTAATGACTCTTGGGGACAATGTGTTTCCGTCTGTGGCTGTCAGGACCCCTCTGTGCTGGGGGGTTTCACTGCAGGCCAGTTTGGGAATGGGGTGTTGGCTGAGGAAGCAGTCAGGCTCCGGCTTTGCTCCCAGCTCTGCTGGGGTCCCCGCTGTAGTAACCGTCCAGCTTTCGTTGAGCACCTATTAAGTGCCAGTCCCTGAGTGAGGTGCTTTATTTCCACCATTTCTCACCTTTGCAGCCTTGTTACCTCCTGTTCAGAGATGAAAGGTGTCGGGGGAGTCACCTGGCTCAGGGTGAAGGAGCAAGGCCCGCAGACCAGACCTGTGTGCTCCAGTGCAGAGCTTGGCACTCAGTCAGCACAAGGCTGCTCTGAGCTCTGTGCCATCTGTACCCCCTGCGTGCTCTCGCTGACCAGCTGGCACCTGCCGGGGGCTGTGTGCCCCTCCCTGGTGGGCCTTCTCCAGGTGGAGGGACCTGGAGGCGAGTCCTGTCAGGGAGCTCTCCTCCCCAGCAGCCTTCTGCCCAGACGCAGCCCTCCCAGGGGCACCTGGGGTGTGTGACGGGGTAGCTTGGCCGCGGGCCTACTTCAATGTTGACCTCACAGCCTCTGAGCCTGAGGCCCTCAGACTGTGGCCCGCTGCGCCTTTCCTTTCCTGGACGCTTGCATCTCCAAATGATCATTGTTGGCTCTTGCCAGCTTCCATCTTGGCCTGCTGAGATGCAGCTTCTGAATCTGTGGGCCCACTGGGGCTTTGCAGCAGACCCCACTTTGCTGCCCTTTCAGTCTGCGTCTCTTCTGTTCTGCATATAACCCGTCTCCAAGCTTTTCTTTTCCTATGTTGGAAATAGTCTCTTTTCTCTTCTGGGCAAAACAAACCCCCTTTTTCCTGCTAAAAGCAGTGGGAAGCTATTATAACATAAAGAGTTCAGCAAGTAAGTACTTTTTGTTAGGTGGGGGGTGGGGGCAGGTTGCTGGGAGGAGGGTAAGGCTTTGGGGACGAGCAGGTGGCTCAGCGCAGGAGGGGCGCCTGGGGGTGACTGGCTGCTCCTTGACCCTAGAATGACCTCACATGCGCACCTGCCTGCCTGCTGTGCACACCGCTCCAGCTCTGCGCTGTGTGCGCTGTGTGGGCGGGGCCTGCTCCCAGGCTTCGCAAGTGTCAGCAGGTGGCCTGCACGTTATAGCGCGGTGGTCCCCGCTTCACAGACAGGGAAACCGAGGCACAGAGAGGGAGGTACGTGCTGGAGCCAGACTGCAGTGCCAGCCCACAAAGCCTGGGTCCAGCGTCTGCCCCTCGCCCCTCAGCCTGGGCTTTGCTGGACTCGGGCAGGGCTGTGCTGGGCACCAGCTGGCTGGTGTGGAGCAAGCGTCCTGGCCTCCGCCCACTAACGCCAGGAACACCCCTCCCACCAAGTGTGACAACTAACCTTGTCTCCAGGCACAGAATCACCCAGGTGGGGAGCCCTGCCCCAGCTCTGAAATGCCATCTTCTCAGCTGGGACTTCGAGCAGGGTGGCAGATGCTTTGTACCCTTCCTTGGTCATGAAAACATCTAAGTATAGGGACAAGCTGACAGAATGGTACTAGACAATTACCCGGACACCCACCACCTAGGTCTGCTCATTAATATCTTGCTGTAGTTTTTCTTGCTGTTAGAAAATGTATATATTTTTATTGTCATTGGACCATTTGACAGTAAGTCACAGACATTTTGACACATAACCTCTAAACAGTGTGCATCCCCTAAACAGGGATGTGCTCTCAGGTAACCATGGTAACCACGTCATGCCCCAAACACTAACAATACAGGCAGGCCTTGGAGGTCCCGGCCACCGCCACCGTGACGGCCAAAGCGAATGTGGGAATAAGGCCAGTTACATGAACGTGCGGGTCCCTGGTGCCTACAGAAGTTCCGCGTACACCACACTGTAGTCTGTGGCTAAAAAATGCCACCACCACCTGAGTCTGTTGGGAAAATGGCGCCGATAGACTTGCTCGATACTGGGTTGCCTCATGTCTTCAGTTTGTAAAAAAAAACCACTATAGTGACGTGGTAAAGTGGGGCAAGCTGTGGTTCCCCGTGTCTGCTGTCCGTATTCATACTTGCCTTCAGATCAAGGTTGGGTTGTGCTTTGCACTTGGTGTCCATCTGTCTGGCCGCCTAACCTATAATAGTCGTCCTACGTTTTCCCTGTAACCTGTTATTTATCAACTTGCTATGAAAAATTGCCAATATTTACAGAAGTAGAGAGACTGGACACATGGCTGTGCCTAGCACCAGTGGTTCCCAACTCCCGAAGAGGCCAAGCTGCTGTTGAGAGAGGGTGCTACCCTCAGATTTTTTTTCTTTTTTTAAGCTGAGCCATCCTGCTTGGCAGCTCAGCGGCTGCTCAGCTCGGGGCGGGAATCGAACTGCGGTTGCTCAGAGCTCAAACTCTTGAGCGAGCTCTTAACCGAGCCACTCGGCCGGCCCTTCAGATCTGCTTGTTAGGGTTTCTCAGGGTCACAGATGACGACTGTTGAGCGTGGCGGCTGACTGCTGTTGTCAGTTCTTACTCAGTCTTGCCGAGTTCAGAATCACAGCAGAACCCTTACAGGCCAGTGGGCAGTGCTGTCACAGGTGCGGCCTCGCGTCACCTGCCCCCCAGCCCCTCATGCTTGCCCTGAGCCTCGGACTAGACACTCACCCCCACTTCCCACAGGGATGACGGCTTCTGCACACCACCCCTCCCTGTGTGAACACCCGGCGAGGGCCCTAGGGATGCCCTGCCTGGCTCCAGCTCAATTTGCACCCCCTTTTCTTTTGGGGCAGCCCCTTTGCCCCCATTTCTTAGCACACATTTCCCAGCCATACAGGCCTATCTCCTCTCCCGGCTTCGGGCTGTCGCTAATGCTGTGCCCTCTGCCTAGGAGGCCCTCCAGTGCCCACACAGAAGTCCCACTCAGCTTGCTGCCAGGCTGCAGGACCCCCTCTGCGCCCCCGCTGTCCCAGCCACTTGCATCTGCCTGGGGTCCTGGTCACACACAGGGCCCACTGCCAGGCTGGTCCTCTGGCGGGGCTTGGTGGGTGTGTGCAGAAGGTGTGGAGTTGGGAGGGGTCTGCACGGAGCCTGGGCCGAGCTGCATCCCAAGGGGCAGGCGGGGCTCACTGCTCCTGGCACTTATGCTTGTCACAAGCCCCCGTCTTGTCAGGTGAGGTGGCTGGGATCGCAGCCTGGACCTGGCCATCCTGCAGGCACTTACACGTGTCCTGAGCAACCCTCTAGCTGTGTGCTCACAGATAGTGTCCTCTGGGCCTCCTCTGTGTGCCTGGCATGGCCGTGTGTGCCCTGCGGCCAGAAGGGCACGGGGCGGGGGGGTGGTACAGGGGGAGTGCGTGCTGCCTCTCCTCTTACCCAGAAAGCCTAGGGGCTTGGGCCCCCGAGTCTGCCCACTGCTGGCCCTCTGGCTTGCCCACGGCTGCCTGTCCCTTTGAGGATCCGCACTCGCTGTGTATGGCCTTGCTGAGGGGAGGTTATCTGTCTGCCCCATCCTCTTGGGACAGTAGGTCATGGACCTTTTCCTTTGACTTCCGTGTTGTTTCACAGTCCTTGGATTGTCTTCATGGCTCACTTAGGCTGGAGGGATTGGAACGTATGTCCGTTATTTGGCCCAGTGCTCACTGATAATGTTAACATCTGTGCTGTAGCTGACTCACTAAAATGGCTGCTTTCCTCCCAAATGTTAAGATCTGCAGTTGGGTATTGTGACCGAGGAACTCTTAGTACCCATAATTCAGATAAGACGAGGAGACCAAGGTTGCTAGTGAGCGCAGGACAGCCCCGCACGCCCACACGGCCTTGCCTGCCCTCCCCGGCTCTCCACCTCTGGGGGCATAATAGTGGAAGTCCCTCACGCCCCTACCTGCATGCAGGACCAGGTCTCTGCTGCCTGTGGTGGTCTCCCCGCTTCCTGATCGTGTCACCGAGCATCCTTGACACTTCCTCCCGGAATGCAGAACGCCCTCCTGAGGCCACTGGGCAGTGCTCTCAGCAGTAGGAAATAGTAAAGGGTAGTCCCAGGGCCCCAACCAAGTGTCAGGCGCAGGAACAGAGGGACATTCAAGGGCAGGCATTTCTTGTGACCTGCAGCAGCGACCGAGGCAGAAGCCCCAGTGCAAACTACCTGCAGCCGTCCCCTCTCATGACACTCGCACGCCAGCCTTGCTTCTGCACGTGCAGCTGCCTGCATTCCTGAGTGACGCACGCAGGCCAGGAGGCACTGCATGCTTTGGTGATGTTCTGGTGCAGGCCATGTTGCTGCCTCGTGTAACCCTGTGCCGTTCGCTCACTTTGCAGTCACAGCTTTGCCACTTCCACTCTGTCCTGCCGCAGAGCCGGCCGAAGCTCCTACCGTCCCCTACTGCCTTCCTCAGGAGAAGCCTCAGGGCCCCGCCTGCACCATGGTGAGTTCTCTGCAGCCACAGTCACCCCCCCAGGGCACGTGCCTCTCCCCAGGCAGGGACGGATGGCCTCTCTGTGGATCTGAGGCTGGACTTTTTCTGTACCCCCCCCCTCCCAAGGCGGGATGTGTTTGCTCCTGGGTATGGTGGGCTGGGATCCATGACCGCCAGCGTCCTGACCTGGGACTGGAGTTCAGGGATGGGATGCCCCTGACAGCAGCGTTGAGTGCCCAGCAGCTAGAGCCGCATGCTCCAAGGAAACAGTGGAGGAGGGTGGGGCCCAACCAAGCTGCGGGCTGCAGCAGGAGACGGGAGGAGGGTCCAAGGCCTGAGCCAGCGGCAGGACTGTGGGATGGAGGGGGACAGGGGCTGCCTGTGAGACGCAGGCCTGGTGCAGCAGTAGCTTGGGAACAGTGGGCAGACACGGGACTGGGTGCTGGGGCTTCTGCTGGGCTCAGCACATACTGGGCTCCCTCTGGATTCAGCTGCCCGCTGGCTTCCTTGTCTTGAACTCTAACTGCATCCAGTGCACATTTTGTCTGGGCTCTCTGCCATCCTGCCACCTGCAGTCCAGCGGGGCCATCAGCAGGTTGACCTGCAGTGTAGGTGGCCCTGGTCCCATGGATTTCCCACGAAGCCAAGGAACTATTTCCTCCATCCACTGGTTTCTGGATGGCTGTTGGGCCCAGGCGTGGTGACTTGGACATAATGGCCCAAGAGCACCCTGGTGACTGACCACCGAGGTGCCTGCAGAGGCTCCTCGCACAGCCCGAGTGCCTGTGGGGCGAGCCCGGCTCTGGCCACACGTGCCATGCAGGCTGGAGGGAGCAGTGGCCTGCAGCGCAGGAGGGTCACACGGGAAATAACTGGGCCATGCACCTGTGTTCTTCCAGGTCCTGGAGGCCGCAGCCCCTGTGGAAGAAGGTGCTCTCCGCCACGGCTGTGGGGGCGCCCCTGCTCCTTGGAGCCCGCTACCTCACAGCAGAGCCGCCAGAGAAGAGGAGGATGCGGCTTGTGGCCGACGGCGTGGGGCGCTTCTGCAGGTAGGTGGGGCCGGGCAGGGCGGTGCGGCTGGCTGTCTTCCCTTCGGGGTCCTTGTGGGCATACTGCAGATGAGCCATCCACACTGGACACAGCAGTGGCCGGCTCGTCAGCCATCACAGCTGTGCCCGGTTCTGAATGGGTTTTCTTTAATAATGAGTGTTCTAAAAGAATGAAAAAGAAACCACACCTAGTTTTTAGGGCCAAGGCCTGCACCCCAGCTCTCAACCCCCGTTTGTCCCGTCAGTGGTGTTCAGGGACCGAGGGGTGGTGTGGGTGCAGACCGGGAGCTGAGACTCACCTGGTAGCCACGCTGCCAGAGCCCCCCTTCACCTCCAGACACCCGAGGGCTGGGCTGGTGGGGGCTGAGGGTGGCCTCTGCTGGCAGGTCTCTGAGGGTCGGCCTGAAGATCTCCCTGGACTACTGGTGGTGCTCGAATGTCATTCTGCGAGGGATAGAAGAGGTCTGTCGTGAGTCCTGGGCTGCAGCCCGGCAGTCTGTACAGTGTGTGGGGGCAGGGGTGCCCCAGAGGAGGTGGGAGTTGGGGGGACTGAGGAGGCGCCTGCCCACCCCCATCCCTTCCCTTCATGCCTGTGGTAGAACAGCCCGAGGTACTTGGAGGTGATGTCTGCGTGTCACCAGCGGGCAGCCGATGCCTTGGTGGCCGGAGCCATCAGCAACGGAGGCCTGTACGTGAAGCTGGGCCAGGGGCTGTGCTCCTTCAACCACCTGCTGCCCCCAGAGTACATCAGGACACTGCGTGTGCTGGAGGACAGGGCCCTCACACGTGGCTTCCAGGAGGTGAGCCCTGTTCTTGGGGGCAGAGGCTGGGGGTTGGGGCTCCAGCAGCGGCCCCCATGCCACTCTACATACCCTCTCCTGCCAGGTGGACGAGCTGTTCCTCGAGGACTTTCAGGCCCCACCCCACAAGCTCTTTCAGGAATTTGACTACCAGCCAATCGCTGCTGCCAGCCTGGCCCAGGTGCACCGTGCCCGGTTGCATGACGGCACCGCTGTGGCCGTCAAGGTACATGGGGCCGAAGCAGTGGTGCAGGGCCAGGCGGTGGCACCAGCTGGGCGGTGGTGGCATCGAGTCCTCCCTGTGCCTTTGCCCGGTGCAGGTACAGTACATCGACCTGCGTGACCGCTTCGACGGGGACATCCATACCCTGGAGCTGCTGCTCAGGCTCGTGGAGTTCATGCACCCCAGCTTCGGCTTCAGCTGGGTCCTGCAGGTAACCGCCACCCACAGGCAAGTTGGGGAGTGCAGCCCTGCACATGCCAGCATGTGCTGCCCCCAGCCTGGACCCTGAACTGCCCGTGTGGCCCCCAGGACCTGAAGGGGACCCTGGCCCAAGAGCTGGACTTTGAGAATGAGGGCCGAAACGCCGAGCGCTGTGCGCGGGACCTGCAGCATTTCCACTACGTCGTGGTCCCCCGTGTGCACTGGGACACATCCAGCAAGGTGGGCTGGGCCCTCTCCTGGGTGGGGGTGCACAGGCCTGCTGAGCTCAACCTCTCTTTCGCCCCCAGCGTGTGCTGACGGCTGAATTCTGTGAGGGGTGCAAGGTCAATGACGTGGAGGCCATCAAGTCCATGGGGCTGGACATGCAGGATGTGAGTGCTGTGTGCACAGGGCACGGGTGGACGGAGGGGAGTGCCTGTTGTGTGCACACCTGAGGATACAGGTGTGAGTGCCGTGTGCATGGGGTGACAGTGGTACAGTGCTGTCCTCTCCCCAGATAGCAGAGAAGCTCATCCAGGCTTTTGCTGAGCAGATATTCTACACAGGCTTCATCCACTCCGACCCCCACCCTGGCAATGGTAGGAGAAGACCCCGGGGGTGGGCGTGGGCGTGGACTGGCAGTGAGTCAGTGTGCTGTGTCCCCAGTTCTGGTGCGGAAAGGCCCGGATGGGAAGGCACAGCTGGTGCTGCTGGACCATGGGCTGTACCAGTTCCTGGATGAGAAGTAAGGTGGCAGGGGTGGGGGTTTGCCCTGGGGCCCTGCCTCCCCTGTCCTGAGTCTCAGGGCTCAGTATGGCTCCCACAGGGACCGGTCAGCCCTGTGCCAGCTGTGGCGGGCCATCATCCTGAGGGACGATGCGGCGATGAAGGCACACGCGGCTTCACTCGGGGTGCGAGGTGAGGCTGGGTTGTGTGGTGTGCGGACATGGCGAGCCGCACAGCGTGGCTCAGCCCCTGCCCCCAGACTACTTCCTGTTCTCCGAGGTGCTCATGCAGAGGCCTGTGCGCCTGGGGCAGCTGTGGCGCTCGCACCTGATGAGCCGCGAGGAGGCGGCCTACATGCAGGCCATGGCACGGGAGCACTTCGAGGACATCATGGCCGTGCTCAAGGCTCTGCCGCGGCCCATGCTGCTCGTGCTGCGCAACGTCAACACTGTGCGTGCCATCAACACGGCCCTGGGCGCACCCGTGGACCGCTACTTCCTCATGGCCAAGAGGTGTGTGTGTGGCCGGGGCAGGGCGCGCGGCGTGGGGTGTGGCGGGGGTGCAGCAGGGCCAGGCTAACCTTGTCTCCTGCAGTGCGGTCAGAGGCTGGAGCCGCCTGGCAGGCGAAGCACAGCCGAGTTTCTACGGCACCAGCCTCCTGTGCCATGCCAGGGTGGTCTGGGAGATGCTCAAGTTTGAAGTGGCCCTGAGGTGAGTGGACAGGAGAGGCCCAATGGGCAGGGGCAGCCTGGGCCTGCTCCCCATGGACCTGTGACCCGTTCCACCCACCCTCAGGCTGGAGACCATGTCCATGCGGCTCACCGCCCTCCTGGTCCGAGTGCTGGCCCATCTGGGCCTCATGCCCAGCACCGAGGGGCTGTACGAGTATCTGGAGACCTAGCGCCCTGGGGCAGGCAGATGGCAGAGGTCGCCCAGGGCCGGCAGTGCTGGCCAGGACTGAAGGTGGATGCCCAAGACCTGGGGCACCGGAACAATTGCAACCTGGAGTTGGGGGATGCCCAGGGGCTCTGACCATGGCTGGGGCCAGGAGGCCCAATGACCACACGCTCTTCTCAAATCAAACAAATCTTTTTCCTTGTTTTTTGTACAAAAAGGGAGTGTGGCAGGGCACTGGGGCTGCGACAGTATCC